GTGCCTCGATCTCAACTTTCGATCGAGTCTAGGCCGAACTCGATCGGTTTAGCCGTTGTTGAGATCGGAAAATCTCGAAAAGGCTCTCGGCTAAATTTCGCGTATAAGAGGCACGGGGTACCACGCGCAGCGCGCGCGCACTTCGTTTGCGCATATACTTGGCGCGAGGCACTACCGTGCCTCTTGATAAGGAAAAGTTGTTCAAAATGTTGACCGTAACAACATATTTCAAGGTCATCAAAAACGGTGAGTTTTCCTCTAATGTAAATAATTACTAAAACTAAATGTATAAATTTTTAAATGACGTAGACTTACGTTGTCCGTTTTAGGTTAAAGAATTTAAAATGACGTAAAATCATGTCACCATCGCTTTAGTTACGTTTAATAGTTTATTATTTAATAGCAACAATCTACAACGCAGTGTATTTTGAATGTTTTGATCAAATTTTATTAATGATCATCTTCAGTGAATATAGAACATATATAAAAAATATAATAAAAAAATATAATAGAATAGAAAAACATCCGTTAGACAGAAAGATACAAAGAAAAGATACATATTACGTGTATTATACAGGGTGTCCGTGAAATTTTGACACAGCCGAAGTATGGAGATAAAATGAGTGAAACTGAATCGAAAAATTATTTGCCATTTTGCGAAATTCGCAATAGTTAATGAAATATAAATTAATAAATGTGAACCAATGAGCGCATGGAAAGCGATGGTCCTAACTCTGTAGGCGTGTATGATTGTCAGTATAAGATCAGCTGATCGACGCGATGTAACGAACAATTCTCTGTGTAGTGCAACAATTGCGCGAGAATGGTTGTTTCGTACACAATCATGAACCAGTTGGTGCACCACTCTTCAATAAGAGTCGATCAGCTGATCGCGGAGAGCAGAGACTTCTCACCTCCTCTCGAGCGCTGCTCGCTTCGCTACGAACTGCCGAATACAGATGTATGCCAGATATATGCCATTAATTTTATACTGACAATCATACACGTTTACAGAGTTAGGACTATCGCTTTCCACGAGCTCATTCCCTTACGAAAAAGAACTACTGCCGGCTGTGTGATTATTACATGCGGCCGTGTGATTAATATGGCGGCTCTGTAATGATCGAGGCGAATATTATTGTATCTGTAATAACTTTTAGCAGCGGAATACAAGCGGACATTACTCGCACTTTAGATATTATTGGAAAAACTACTGTGTGTAATAACCACTGAGTGTGCGGATCACACGCAGATATTACTAGATATCGCTCATATATATATTATACAGATAAAAATGGTATATTATGAGCGGAAAGACATCATTGTAAATAATCTAACAACTTTTAAAACATTTTTTCTCTTTGGAAAATTTGTACAAAAATATTTTGTATTGGAAGAATGCAACAAAATATTTTTGCAAAACTGCTAATAATTAGTAGCGTGTGATACGCATTATCTGCGTGTGATCCGCACACTCAGTGGTTATTACACACAGTAGTTTTTCCAATAATATCTAAAGAGCGAGTAATGTCCGCTTGTATTCCGCTGCTAAAAGTTATTACAGATACAATAATATTCGCCTCGATCATTACAGAGCAGCCATATTAATCACACGGCCGCATGTAATAATCACACAGCCGGCAGTAGTTCTTTTTCGTAAGGGTTGCTATTTTAGGCGATTTTTAGCGATTGTTTGGTACATGTATCAAAGTGTACCAAAGCATAGTTTCTATATATCCTAACTACACTTTGGTATATGTACCAAACGATCGCCAAAAATCGTCTTTTGCAACCACTGAAATATTTTAGAAGTTTTTTGTAATTCTGCGCCTATATATTACTGCCGCAATATTTACTGCTTATATATTACTGGCAATAATATTTAGGCAGTAGTATATTGCGGCAGTGGTACGAAATAAGTACAAGCATTCTGTGTAATTGCCAGTAATATTTATATGTAATCGGCAATAGTTCTTTTTCGTAAGGGTTGGTCCACATTTATTAAATCATATCTCAATAACTATTGCGAATTTCGCAAAATGGCAAATAACTTTTCGATTCAGTTTCACTCACTCTATCTCCATACTTCGGCTGTGTCAAAATTTCACGGACATTCTGTATAGTTTGTAAGACAGTCATGCTTTATTCCATTTCTCACTGTGTTGGCGAGTACTGTAATATTTCAACCCGGTTTTTCAATCTTACAGTTAAGAATAAGTAGTCTGTTTATTTATTTTTTTTTTTTATTCTTTATTTATTTATTTATTACTTATTACATCTCCTGTAGTTTTATTAATTGACTTTTTATTTTATTTTATATTTTTGAATTTTATTTTATATTTTGACTTTATATTTTACATATTCATATTTTGACTTTATTTCTTTGACTCAAATTTATCGTTTTTATTGACTATTTTTACAATATTTATTTATTTATTTGATTGTCCGTTATAAACCTCCGATATATAGACAAACATACTTTGATATTTAATATGTCTATGTTATCTGTTGTTTTGGCTCGTGCTTGCCGACGCGCATTAGGCGATCTTTGTGATAACTTGTTGAGTTAGGTGCGTACATGTTTATTCAAAAAAGTATTTGTATGTATCTTTTCATATGTATCTTTCTGTCTAACGTATGTTTTTCTATTCTATTATATTTTTTAATATATTTTTTTATTCTGTATTCAGTGCTGAAAATGATCACCAATAAAATTTGATTGAAACGTCCGAAACACACTGCGTTTTGAGTTGTTTTCGATTGTCCATCTTTAACTTGAACCACAGGCTCTTTAATTTTCTTTTAATTTGTCTTATTAAACCGTTATTGCAATACTATTTAATAGCATTGATTACAAAATTATTATAAACCAAGTATAGTAAAATTATTATAAATTAAGTATATATACTATAACAAAAGTAATCTAAAACTAATGTTAGATTACTTTGTTTGATAACTATGTTTAGATTACTTTTGTTATATTACCTTTGCTGAGAAGAAGACCGTCATTAAGCCATGGACGTAATACATCGTATATCCTACTTTTTTCGTTATGTTTTGTACTGCTTAAGACTTTCTGAAATTGCGAAGAGAAACGACAGTGAAAATATCAAGTTCTTCTGATATTTTATTTTAACATATAGACAATTATTTTAAAAATCAATTTATATCTTATGTATACATATTCTTAATTTTAAGGAATTCGTCTCTCTTAGAATAAATGCAACATTTACTGCGTTCAGCAGAACAAGTCGCTTTGTAGCGATTGACTCTTGTTTGTAGAATCAATTAATCAAATGTCATCGAGTGTTTAGACAAGACGACAACTCAATAAGTATTCTGCTGAACGTGGCAATTAATTCCTAAGTCACCAGATTGTCAATTATGATTGCGCGAAGAGGTATATTTCTTTTATAATTTATTACTTCCAAATCATCTGGATGACGAATGATTACAGCAACTACAGGACCTATCCAGACTTTTGTAACAGGATATATTTTATCGGTAAAATAACGCAGAACATGCCATACATCTTCTGAAAAATATACTAAGATAATACTCCGGTAAAAGTTTAACATTTAATAATTTTTTATTATTTTGTTATTCTTTTTAACTCTTCAATTTTTAAATTGTTTGTATTAAAAAAAGTATACAATACTTGCCTTGTGAACATTGGAATAGAAGTGCTGAACCGAAAATTGGAACACTTGGTAGACCTGGTATAAGATCGATTAGTTGTCCATTTCGGTTATGATGCACATAGTAATCATACAGTATTATGAAAGCAATCAAGAATAACAATAATGTTACTAACAATAATGTTATTGTTATTATCATGTTTTGTGATGTAAAATGGTTCAAGTAGATATATTTCAATATACTTCAAATTTTGTTCTGTTATAAATGTCTTTTTTGTGCACGTTTTGAATTATGATAATTTTTCTTTCTCTTAAGTCCGTGTGATCTTATCTTGATGTTCTGTAAATATAATATTATTTAATAAAGAGTTTAGGCTCTTAAGTTTCACACTGATAATGCGAAATTTAAACGGTCAGAGTCTTACACTGGATGTTTGTTGCGGAATAAATATATATATATATATATATATATATATATATATTGTGACGTAGCAGAGCGACTGCACTCGCTCACCTCTGTCACAAAGGCTTATCTCCAATGCTTGAAATCGCATTCGGAAACTCACTAATCCTCAGGGCTAAAATAATTAATAGAAAATAGATTCTAAATCTAGATTTGTTTTGTCTGTCAAAAATAAATTGCATGATCGGATACGAGCGTCTCACCGACATCATCACAAATCCCACTGATCTGCGGGGTCATGAAGAGACACCAAAGAACGAGAGAAGGTGAAGGCAGAAGCATGCAACACAAAAAATCAGAGCACGGCCATTGAAAAGCGCGGCATGAAGGGGAAACGGCGAAAATAATCAACGAAGCCGTTAGAAGGAAATCGGGAGCATCCTTGCTAAAGTCAAGACGCAAGGTGACACGGCAAAACAACGATCGACAAACACGAAAATTAATAACAACGGCCGGTCTTGCGCGACCGTGAAGATGGCCGTTAGGAAAATTAAACTTGTTAATCGCAACGTGTCGAGACACGTGGTCTCGATACTTGAGATAATCAGCCGATATGATAGACTGAGAAAACTTCTCCCGCCCTGAGCCCTTCTCAGGCAATGCTGTCTTACGGCTATAAATTGGCTGAATCGCAAGAGCGATTAGTTTTGTCAGCTTTTTCTGCGAAAGTAGCGAGCGATTAGCGATTAAGAGTGCGTGAAAGTCCGAGTGCAAGTGCGGAGCGGCGATAGAGCAAGAGAGAACGCAATCATTGGACGGGGGTGGTCCTGTGGAGAAGAACAAGGCGGAGAAGACGAGTCAGGGACTCACGAAAGCGATCGAAAAGACAGCACCGGCTCGAAACCGTTGAATTTCTTTTGTAAAATTATTAAATATATTTCGTTTAACGTCTCGAAAGCACTGGCTCACTGTCAGTATCGCGTAAGACTAGAAGAGTCTCTTTTGTTCTTTTCTTGTTTAAATTTGAATTGTTTCGGTAAGGCGAGCAGCTGCAGTCGAGCGGCGAAATTCGCGAGTTCTATTGTGTTGCGTCGAGCTAGAAAAAAATCCGCTTTTCTCTATTAAATCTAACCGCTTTGCCTCGGAGAATCTTGCGTCGCTAACTAGCGTGCATGTTCAGTTTCATTGTCAAAAATATCCGCGAGCTATCGGACCGAATAGGTGCTATTAGCTATCGCGCGAAGACGTTCGAGTTTATTCGACTACGGTCGAAATACGAATTGAGAGTGCTATCGAATATTACGAGACTATTATTTTCTGCGTTCTTTTGTAAACGGTTTATGACTAATAGGTGCTATCGTACGGGTCGGATTACTGCTACCGGATCATTTCGGAATTAAATAGCGGCGGAATTATCGTAAAATCGTTTGAAGATTTGACGAGTTATTGAAAAACAATTTGCGGCGTAACACTTGACGCGTGCGGCAATATAACTGTTATTGAAAACAGCTGATCCGGCGTATGTTGTCTAAGCTGGTCACTGATCCGGCGTGCCGAGACAAGCAAGTCTTATACACGAGCGAGGTGGTTACCTCGCGCGGCTCCGACGTCAGCGTATAAAAACCCCGAAAAACATCGCATCATCTGTTAAATTTGCGCTTTGCGAGACGAAATTCTCGGAATTTCGTCTGGGCCGATCGAATCTCGGGGTAAATATTCAGAAAAACGAAGCACCTTTGGAGGTCAATGACCTTAACATATGTTGTCAAAGACACCTTCCTGAACAACAATCTGCAACTTTTAGCCGTTGCTCGTTGTTCGTTAAAAAATTATAAACAAAAAAAATATCATAAATGAACTCTTATTTTCTGACACCGTGTACATTTTGTTTGTGTTGTAAGCGTGTAGGCAGGGCGGGCTGCACCCCCCCCCGCAGGGGGAGGAGCTTCACCCTTCCTCTCTCCCCTTTCACGAAAAAATGAAGGTATATAACAACATCAATATGCACGGTTACACTCACTATACAGTAAATTACAAAGAAAATTTCGTCGATCCTCATACTAATTGTCACACGCAAAACATCGAAAGAATTTGGCGAGATATGCGAAGTAATATTCTACGTTTCGGAACATCGGTAGAACATTAATTGAATTTTTCACTTAACACTTAATTGAATTCTTCATTTTTTCGTGAGAGGGGAGCAGGGGGGAGCGAGGGGCGCAGCCTCCCCCTGTCTACACGCTTACAACACAAACAAAATGTACACGGTGTCGGAAAGTAACAGTTCATTGCCGCAACTTCTTTTGTTTATAATTTTTTAACGAACAACGAGCGACGGTTAAAAGTTACAGATTGTTGTTCAGGAAGGTGTCCTTGACAACATATGTTAAGGTCATTGACCTCCGAAAGTGCTCCGTTTTTCTGAATATTTACCGCACAACCTGACTTGCTTCCTACATCACGCCGCCTCTCTCTGTTCGGTTCGGAGCTAGTCGATCCGGATTCCTCAATCGAGATGTAATTGATACGCATGTCGCATGTCCGGCGCTCACTCAATATCTTAAAAGAAATTCCGACGATCTCGGGGATCCGAAATCGCTTCCGGGTTCGAGTGCCGGTGATCTCACTGCGGAGAAACGAGCCTTTTTCTCATCAGCAGCGAATTAGAGCAAAAATTATGTTGCAATACATAGGGTAAAAAGAAAGTACTGGAATACCTAAATATCTCAGAAAATATAAGTTTTACAGAAAAGTGTTTTAGACAAAAGTAGTATAGTTTAAAAAGATCTATTTACTGATTATATTACTGTGACTTGGGATTGTGTCTCTAAGGTCATATCAAGGTCACATCGATTTTGTTAAATAGAAGTCTTAATTTTTTATTAGAGATTTGTATAGCCTAACTCAAGAGCTTCCCAAAACACTATAATAAAATTTATTTTCATTAAGTGCTTTTTAACTTATGAGGGTTGAATATTAGAGTACCGCTGGTACTTTTTCTATGAAGATAATTTNGATCAAAACGAATTTTGTGAATTCACGATGCAGAGAATTGACAAAAAATCTAACTTCTTATTCAACATAGTTTTTTTTGGATAAAGCAACATTCGAAATAAATGATAACGCCAATAGATAATGCTAATACTGGCAATATTCTAATATTCAACGTTCATAAGTCAAAAAGTACTTAATAAAAATAAATTCTATTATACTACTGCCTAAATATTATTGCCAGTAATATATAAGCAGTAATATATTGCGGTAGTAATATATAGGCGCAGAATTACAAAAAACTTCTGAAATATTTCAGTGGTTGCAAAAGACGATTTTTGGCGATCGTTTCCTTTACGAAAAAGAACTACTGCCGGCTGTGTGATTATTACATGCGGCCGTGTGATTAATATGGCGGCTCTGTAATGATCGAGGCGAATATTATTGTATCTGTAATAACTTTTAGCAGCGGAATACAAGCGGACATTACTCGCTCTTTAGATATT